TTTTTTTTTTTTTTAATGTTGAAGATGGAGCCTCGGTCGGTGTTCCCTGCAGCCTCTGCCAGCGTCCGCGAAGTTAGCAGGCTTCTAATATCGTAGGAATGAGGTAAACCAAGCTAAATCATTTGGCAACATACGGCCTGAATAAAAAAAAAAAATGTAATTTTTTTTTCCTCCTTGCGTTCAGCCTTCCTCACGTTTCACTTCAGGGCTCAGTGAAATTCTGGTTTGTGTCTTCACGTCTTGTGAGTGAGTGTGCCCGCATCAGCAAGTGTTAACACCTGTAATCGTTAACAGAGTATAAGACCCCTTTGGAGGCTTTATTTTTGCTTACATTTCCTTCATAAGTGCAATAAAAAAGACAGCACTCATTTTTTGCTTTCCTCATTTGCCAGCGTAGGCTCTCAAATACGCGGAATACTGCTTCTTTTTACCGCACCCCCGAGGATGGGGACTGAAATGACTTTGTAAGAAATGGGTTGTTAGCCTGTGACCCAAATGCTTCTGCATTTCTGAAATTTTTCTAAATGTAATGGTCATTCACCTTTTGCTTATTTAAGTTCCATAAAGCAGTTGGGCTTCCGGAAGCTGTTGTTTAGTACACACAAATTTCTGGAAAATTGTCAGATGGGAAAGCTTTGCTGTTAGTTCATCGCTCTCTTAACTCCATTCCTGCGCTTCATCAGTGTCATTGGTACACAATCAGTATACATCGGGGTCTTGGTATACAATAGCTAAGGGAAAAGGAAAAAATAGATCAACAAACTTGCTGAAATAGCCAGTTATACTTACTGAGGTAAATGGATTAAGTTTAGGCACTCAGCATATTGAAGTTAACATACAATCTGAAAGCTGCTGTCCCAAACTAGAAGGTAGACACTTTAATTGCTGAAAGGACCAACTTTATCCATCCTCCCCCACTCCTCCCCATAGAAGATTTACTTCATGAGGGCTGAGAACTTGGCTTAATTTGCTTTTAGGAATAGTTCTTGAAGAATTTTAATATCACTTTTCTAAAATTTGCCTCAAAACGTGGTGGAGAAAAATTATTGAAGTTTGCTGGATCAAGAGCATGGTCATGGAAAGTGTTGGGGAAAAATCCTCTATGCTTACTAGGTGTGGCACATAATTTCAGGGTAATTGTATGCAAAGTGTGAGTGGCAGAAAAGCAGTAGAAATGCCAAGATAGTAATAGAGTTACTCAAGTACTCAGTGATAACGTTGAACAACTGAATTGTGTGTTGAAGTTTAATTATGAAAGTAGTTATTTGACTTCTTAAATTAAAAGCCTTTCATCCAATGCTTTAAGCGGAACCAGTGCTGCAAATATAGTACTACATTACAGTGTACTGTTTTCAATCCATTAAAAGATGTTACATGAAACGCATGTCAACATGTCTGTTGTTCCTAGTGTGTAATTTCTGGGGATGTGAGAAGAGGTATAGTAACATTACTTGCCCCATATAATATCAGTTCCTAGTGATGAAATAGCCTGTCTGTCTGTCTCTCTCAAACTTTTTTTTCCCTCTGATTTGTCATATCATAATGAATGACAAGCAGTTGTTAAATGCAGACCATTTCCTATGTGATGTAAATGTGTGCAATGCTGTTAAGGGCTTTTGCAAAGGGTTTGGTTTTACTTGATTTCAGTGTTTGTGATACAATTTAAGAAAGCTAAGGGACAAAATCAGATACATTTTGCCTCATAATATTTGGAGAATTTTTTACTCAATGTCACAAATCTTTTTTTTTTTTTTAATAGACGTGACTCATTTTAAGTTGTATTAGCTTGTGCTTCAGCCCTGATATAAGAAAATCTGTTGTGATGATCTCTCACATGGGTAGGACTCTGTTTGTGGTGTTTAAACTTCACTCTGGAGAGCTGTCAGACCTGTGAGCAGCCCATGGCTCTGAACAGTACTGAGCTCACTGCAGCTGTGTACCCCTGGGGATGCATTCCCTGGAGTGGAGCGTGCGAGTGGCTATAATCTCACTACCTGCTATCTTACAGGCTGTTTCTGAGTGTACACGCTATTAAGCTACTGGCTGTTTCTTGAGTACACAGGCCCCTTTGTTGTCTGATTGCGCTCTCTGACTGTGCAGAGCTGTGCTTGCATTTTACTATCTGATGGGATAGCAGGCCTGGTCTTGAGGACAGCCTTGGGCCTCCTAAGGAAAGTACGTTCTAGGAAGTGCAAGGCTGAAATAGGTAGCTCTGGTGCTAAGTGGTTTATTCAGCCTTTTGCCGTTATACAGTGCAAAGTGGTCCAATCTTCACATCCTGACCTTGGGAGGAGGAATGAAGCATTTCAGCAGCTGCTCTGCAGAGTGAATTTGTCGTTCCCAGCTTCCTATGTGCAGACGGAGCACTGGGAAGGGCATTTGGGTCCAATGAATTCTCAGGCTGTGGGTTGAAAGGATACTAATTTAGCCTTTAGTATCGTACCAAGAATTAGTGCCATCTAGTGATGACCTTTGTTTTTATGCAGCGTTTGTTTTATGGGCTGGAGAAAAACAACCACATCGAGGAATGTATGCCAAAAGGTTGTTTATTTCTCAGCACCGTACAATTTCATGTGTAAGACATACATAACAGGAATTAATTTAACCGTTCTGAAAACATGACCAGACCTTTTTCTTCTATTACGCCCGCCTTCTTTCTCATATATATCAATCCTGTTTAAGGAGTCATTCTTTTTAAGCAATATGTATACAATTTTTCCATCCTGTCCATCTAAAATATTCAGTTACTTTGGTGCTTTGAAAAGTTTTCCTGTATCTGTTTTTCTTCGATGGTCCAGAAGCCTTCAAAATTATCTGTTTCATACTTAACTGATACAGCTGCTATCAACCCGAAGCAATTTACAGTAAATCTTTTTCCTACTTTCACTTAATTCTCTCCTTTTCTCTAACTCTACTGAGTTGTAATGACCACATAAATATTCTTAATAAGCTTGGTTGCTTAATGAAGCAGGATCAGTCTGTGTTATTCGATGCCTCTTTGTAAACCCAGTGAAAATCACACAAACAGCTGTACTGGTTCGCGCTAAAAGACTATCTAGTCCCGTGTCTGCTAGCTGTAAAGGAGCTGCCTGATCTGAACGTGGAAAGCCGGGGGTGAAGTTCTGGTCATCCTTTGCTGAGCTGCTGTTCCCATTGACTGTGTGTGCGCGGTCTGCTCCCTAAAGGCAATTGTGATCAACAAGTGGGAGCCAGGGAATGGGTTTGCTTATTCACAGTGATGGTGTACTTCTTGCTCACAGGATCATCCCCAGCATCTGCATTTGGCCATATACAATGATGAGGAGCACAGCAGGCCAGTCCTGATTGCTCAGGATGGAGTTTTGTTCAATGTTCAGGTCATTAGGCCTACCTAAGAATGGGAGAATCATTTAGCATGAGGTTAAATGAGATTGTCCAAGTCTCAGTCTGATTCTTCTCCAAGTCAAAAGTGGCCACTGACGTGGTGATGGGGAATCCCGGCAACTGTGTTCTCTTCTTATTCTTGCATCTCTAGGTGCAGCACCACTGGGGTGTGTCTACTGGCTCCTCTGATGCCTCCAGGAAACAATAGACGCTGTCAGGTCTCCCCTGCAGGATCTTTTGTTTGAGTTTGGGTTTTTTCATGTTTTACCTTCCAACCTCCCCCCGCCCCATGCCTGCTGTCTTCTTTTTTACTGAAACTTGGAATCATTTCTTTATGCTTCCTTTCCTTTTTTTTTTTTTTTTCTTGAAGAGGAGGGAGCATTTGGTGCTTTTAGCCTGGGTATCAGCCCATTCCTAAGGGGAACACAACAGCAGTGGCCATGTGCAGGTACTTGGGAAAGAACAAGAACTGTGGAAGCATATGATATCCTCCCTGGAACCTCTCCCAACGTCTACTATATATCACAGGGGGCAGGGGGTAGCCACCCTGAACTCAGCTCACGTGGTATTCAATAACCTGGAAGAATTTTTTCACAAGCTGGCCTAGTGTGTAATCCTTGAATTGATGTAAATTTAGCATGCACAATATCCTTTGCAAGGGTGCTATTTGCTACATGAAGAACCTTCCTTTAGCTTATTTTAAAACTACCTGTTCCTAGTTTTATTTCAGGCCCCAGACTTTGTATTGGAAGAAATGATAAGGCTAGATCGTGTGCCCACCTTGTTAGCGTTATGTTTAGTTCTAGAGAGCTCTTGCATATCCCATCAGTTCTGGCAGACTAAGAGTCCTGCTCATGTAATTATTCTTATACCTTCAGCCATCATAGATTTAAGACCGAGGGTATGTATGCATAGGAAAGAAACAAAAAAGACTTTAAAAAAAGGAGACTAAATGAGAAAGCATATTTGTAGTTTTCACATTGAAATAGGAACTTAAAAAGTGTGAAACCTCAATAACATGGAGCGTTTAACCAGTTCAGAGGTTTTTCTGGGCATGTTATCACTGTTCAGCAAAAATAGCAATTACTAATTAAAGAGGTTTAGTATTGAGAGCACAATAACAATTAAATATATGCCAATTTCAATCGACATATTAAGGCAGTAACTAGGTCACAACAGTCATTTAACACAAGCATTTTGACTGTTAATCTCTTCACCTAGTTTTGGGGATCAACCCTCTGCCTTTCCATCCCCTCCCTGATTCCAGCTGGCATCTTTTTATCTCTGTCAAGCTATCATTAAGTGCACTGCGGTATCAGTCAGAGCTTATTTTGTGACACTGAGTGTCCCAGAATCATTCTGGAGTTTCTCCAATAATAATTCCAGTGCTGTGCTCCAAAGGGAAAACATTTGAAAAGCTGCAGGTGAACGAAGGGATTCTAAATGCATACCTTCTCTTGGGTCTCTCAGAGTGCCACAGAGCAAGACTTCTGTCCTGCTTCTGGATATGCCATGTTTTCGGTCAAAGAGCTCATGAATAAAAATGGCAACTTATCGCTTTCCCAGCTTATCCCTGCCTTGATGCTGAGGCAGGAAAAATAAAGGCACTCGGAGAATGTGGGGTCTACAGCAAAAAGGAAATATTCTGTCTCTATATTATAAATAGAAGTAGCTGTGGTGCTGACTTTCTGGTAGCTCCCAGTGCATACAGCTGAGGAAAAGGTGAGAATGTAGGCTCTCTGAAGCATCATATGACAATGATATGCCAGTGCCAGAGCAATGAGCAGAGTCTAGAGGAGTGTAATGGAACATAAATAAAATAAAATAAAGGAAGCCAGTCTCTGTGAAGTGCTATAAAACAGGAGAAAAACCCTGTTTTTTCATAAAACATGAAAACCCTCAATACAATTATTTTAATCTGCAACGTGATCATTTTATGAATGGGGACAGAAATGTTGTTGATGAAGGACTGAGGGACTGGACTCAGCAGACAAGGTGCTCTTTTCCAGTTTTGCATTCCTGAGTCCAAAATCACTTATTTATAAGCAACACACATGTTTTTGAAACAGTTGAAACGTACTTCTTGGGTTGTTGATTTCTTCTAGGTTTTTGTCCCTTCTTACCTGTTGTCCATGTTGAAGAACTCACTGTACTGCCACTTGTGCTGTGTATCTATCTCCGTTTTCTGTCCTAGCTGTTAAGCTGCAATAATTTTAGCCAAATCTGTGGGTTTTTTCCCCTTTTTTGCACTGGTTTATACAGAAGTACTGCCAAACACTATGATTCCATGATGTTTATAAAGTGCAAAAATAAACAAGTGTTGATAAGATACTCTTTGTAAGAAGAAAGTGAAGCCTCCAGTCTTGCAAACACACATGTAATTAATTCAGCTAAACTTAAGCAGAATGCAAGTTAAATTAGAGTTTATGTCTATTTGATGCGTATGTACAAATAAGGAAGAAAACAATGTGCTCGATGCCTGGCTGGAGGCCTGGAATGGTAATTTAAAACATACCCAGAAAACAAGAAAGAGCTTATTTAGTCAGCTGTTTGGCATAAAAGGTATGCTGTTATCAGTTTTCTTATTAGCTGATGCCTATGAAAGTTTTGTTGCCTAGTGGAACAATTTCAAAATCAACATGCCTCTTGTGGGGTGATAACATGCTGACGGTATAAAAACCATTGCTTTGGAGATGATTAGCTCACGGCTTAGGCAGAGAAGGATTCTGGCCTTAATAAAGGAAATGATACAGGAAAAAAATGGTGCCTGTTAGATACAATGCTAAGTTACTAAGCTTGAGTTATTCATCTCTGATGCCAGCTTGCTGGTGCTAATTAAACCAACTATATTTTAGCAAATACTAAGACAGGGCTCACAGTCCTCATACCTCATTTGAGTGTGTTGGACACAGCCACTGTTTCACACTAATTTATAGCCTTTTAACTCACAAAGAGATAACATCTGTAATGCTCATGAGCAAAAAAAAAAAACAAAAAACAAAAAATCACGCAGTTGTAGTATTTGTAACTGACTTTCAGGTTTCATCAGAGAAGGCTCGTTTACTAAGGACACGAATCACCATTGCACGGTGAAGGACTCTGCCTGTAATAAGTTGTTAGCATTTTACGTGAGGCATTTTGATATCCTGTTCTCTTCTTACATATTCTTGGAAGCATATAATTAAAAACATCTTTACCTAGATTTACTACATTCATACAAACTTTATGACCCCTTAAGACCTGTTATGCAGTCTATTATGTTCTGAAAATATTTCTTGGCAAAATTTATTTCTATATTGTTGAAGTTTGCAATATAAGTATTTTTTTTAAAGTTCTAGTGCAGGCATTTCCAAAGGCTGTGCTGCTACAGCAGCCTATGTGCTCTATCTGCCCTAGGGAGCACCCTCCTACCAGAAATGAGTGGTCTCAGG